AAACAGGGTTTCACCATGTTGCCCAGGCTGATCTTGGACTCCTGGGTTCAAGCAGTCCTCCTGCCTTGGCCTCCCAAAGTGCTGGGATTACAAGTGTGAACCACCGTTGCTAGCCAGAGAGAGTTTTTTCCCACCAACCTAGGAAGCGTTCCTCCCTGCTCTGCCTCATTCCTCTAGCCTGCCCCTGAGGTCATGCCCCCTAGTCTGCACCCTCCCCAACGTGCTTCCTGCTTTGGTGGCCCTGCAGAGCTGCTGGTGACAGAAGCGGCCCACGTGCGCATGCTGCGGGTGCTGCACGACCTCTTCTTCCAGCCCATGGCGGACGGCCTCTTCTTCTCCCTGGAGGAGCTGCAGAACATCTTCCCCAGCCTGGACGAGCTCATCGAGGTGCATTGTGAGTGCAGGGCCAGGGTCCCTCTGTACCCCACTGCCCCACGGGCAGCTCTGTTCTAACCCTGGGTTCAACCTGCTCGGGAACCCCAGGGTTCACATGGGGTGGGGGCAGATATGCCATCCGGCCCTGAAGAGCAGACACAGATACACCTGCAGCCCTATTCCCACCATGCCGCAGCAGGCCACGCACAGCATATTCCAGGCCCTGATGGAGGATCCCTTTCCTCCTGCCCCCACAGCCCTGTTCCTCGATCGCCTGATGAAGCGGAGGCAGGAGAGTGGCTACCTCATCGAGGAGATCGGAGACGTGCTGCTGGCCCGGGTGAGATGCCCAGCCCTCCCCCTCCTCCCAGCTAGACACTTGGAATCCAAGCCCGGAGCGGGTCCTGAGCCCACCCTAATCTAGTCCCAGGGTCTGGGCTTCCAGCGTGTCGTACTTTAGGCCCTGTTCTTGCCCATCCCCACTGAGACACCTGCCTGGCCTGAATCTCACTGTAGTTTGATGGTGCTGAGGGCTCCTGGTTCCAGAAAATCTCCTCCCGCTTCTGCAGCCGCCAGTCGTTTGCCTTAGAGCAGCTCAAAGCCAAGCAACGCAAGGAGCCTCGGTTCTGTGCCTTCGTGCAGGTGAGGCGGGGTCTGAACTCCAGCTTCCTGGGGAGGAGGGGCCTGGAAATCCAGACTCCTAGGTGCCTGCGCCCTGGGGTGAGCCCGAAGCCTGGGCCATCACAGCGCCAGCACCAGTTTCCTGCAGGAAGCTGAGAGCCGCCCACGGTGCCGCCGTCTGCAGCTGAAGGACATGATTCCCACGGAGATGCAGCGGCTGACCAAGTACCCCCTGCTTCTGCAGAGCATCGGGCAGAACACAGGTACCGCAGGCCTGCCTCTCTGGGCCTCGGCTCTCCTTTTTTTTTTTTAATTTTTTTTCTCACTCATTTTCATCAGTGATACCATCACGGCTCACTGCAGCCTCGACCTCCCAGGCTCTAGCCATCCTCCCACCTCAGCTTCCCAAGTAACTGGGACCCCGGGGGCACACCACCGTGCCTGGCTAATTTTTTTAATTTTTTTGTAGTGACAGGGTCTCGCCATGTTGCCCAGGCTGGCTTTGAACTCCTGGTCTCAAGCGATCCTCCTGCCTCAGCCTCCCAAAGTGCTTGGATTACAGGCATGAGCCACCATGCCCAGCCAGCTGTCCTTTGTCTAACTTTGGCTGCTCAATCTGGAGCCTCCAGGGCAGGGGTTCACCAGAGCTGCTCTCTCCCTTGCCTGCAGAAGAGCCCACGGAACGGGAGAAAGTGGAGCTGGCAGCCGAGTGCTGCCGGGAAATTCTGCACCACGTCAACCAAGCCGTGCGTGACATGGAGGACCTGCTGGTGAGCCTGGGCTGGCCCCACACCTGGGACAGTGGGTGGTATGAGAGCAGGGGGTGGACCCTACCTCAGCCTGTCCAGAAGTCACACCCTACCCCTTGGCTTGTCTCCCTCAAGGGTCACTGTGTGTCTGGGGGTTGGCTTGGCCCTCAGCACCTCCCTCTGAGGGTTATTGGAGGTCAGGCCCCACCCTCAGCTTGCTCCCATCAGAAGTTGGTCTTGGCTCTCGCCTTACCAATGTGGGTCACTGCGGGTCAGCCCCAGCACTTAGCTTGTCCCCATAACGCTCCCGTCTCTGCCCCAGAGGCTCAAGGACTATCAGCGGCGCCTGGACTTGTCCCACCTTCGGCAGAGCAGCGACCCCATGCTAAGCGAGTTCAAGGTGTGACCTTATCCTCCTGCCTCCCCTGCCCCGCTACTCTACTTGGCCCAGGGGATTCTGTGACACAGTCCCCAGCCTGTCCTCCCCATCCCATACTATACGCAGGGATCAAGAGCTTTGGCCCCCACCTCATGCCAATCCCATGATCCCCAGCCTGTGGTCATCCCTGGTCACTGCCCTGCCCTTCCCTTCCCTTCCCCACCAACCCCAATCACCCCCCGCCAACCTGCAAGAACCATCACCCCCCTCCTGCCTCAGAACCTGGACATCACCAAGAAGAAATTGGTCCACGAGGGCCCACTGACGTGGCGGGTGACAAAGGACAAGGCTGTGGGTGAGTGCCGGGGCAGCCACCTAGTGCAGGGTGTGGGGGCAGTGAGCCAAGGGCGGGGACGGGGTTGCATGGGGGCGCTGTGTGAGCACTGCTCGCCCCGTAGAGGTGCATGTGCTGCTGCTGGATGACCTGCTGCTGCTGCTCCAGCGCCAGGATGAGCGGCTGCTGCTCAAGTCCCATAGCCGGACGCTGACGCCCACGCCCGACGGCAAGACCATGCTGCGGCCTGTGCTGCGGCTCACCTCTGCCATGACCCGCGAGGTGGCCACCGGTGAGCACAGCCACTGTATGGCCCAGGGCAAAGGGTGTCTCTTTTGGGCAGAGCTGCCTGTGGAGTGGGGAGCAGAACCCTCTACAGAGCCAGGGAGTCAGCATTCTGGCAAAGAGGCTGGGAAGTGGGTGGAGGTGGGCAGGGCGGGGCTAGGCCTAGTAGGTTTTATAAGTGAGGTAGGAACTGCTGCAGGTGTTTGCACAGAGGCGTGTCTTGTATAAATGAGAAGAAAGGCCAGGAACCCAGTGAGGAGGGATTTGTAAACACACAGTTGGGAAGTTGCACCAGGGCCACAAACACTGGGAGCAGCTGGAGGGTGGGAGTGGCTGGCAGGGTTTTGTTAGGTAGGCCAGGGGACTTGCCTGGTTCCCTAAGGAGGTGTGAGGGGGGAGCTCAGGAGGACACATCAGGCCCTGGATATTAGTGGACAGTGAGTTGTGAGTTGAGTCATGGGAGCCCTGAGAGCACCGCTACTGTGAGTGACTTCCCCAGCTTGTGCTCAGGAAGGGGCACGCACTGGGGGAACCTGGGCTCTGAGTCCCATCTCCCCCTCTCCCTGCAGATCACAAAGCCTTCTACGTCCTTTTTACCTGGGACCAGGAGGCCCAGATATACGAGCTGGTGGCACAGACTGTCTCGGAGCGGAAGAAGTGAGGGGGGTTCTGAGTTCTGAGTGTGGGTTGAGGCGGCCCAGGCCTCTGGGTTCCCGGGTACAGGAGGGCTGTGGGGAGGCCCCGGCATAGGGTCTGGGGGCTCTGACTGCCCAGGGGTTTGGCCTTTCTCCCCAGCTGGTGTGCCCTCATTACCGAGACTGCCGGATCCCTGAAAGTTCCTGCCCCTGCCTCTCGCCCTAAGCCCCGGCCCAGCCCGAGCAGGTGAGGGGGGCCATGGAGAGAGCTGGAGGTTCAGGGAGGGGGGCCGGAAGGCAGGGCTGGCTTCCCTCCACAACTCCAGAATGCAAACCCCAGTCCTGTCGAGTGTGCATGTGTGTGAGCGTGCGCATGTGTGAATGCATGTGTGTACATACATGTGTGCCTGTACGCAAGCATGTGACTGTGCGTGCATGTGTAGTATATGTATGCATGCATGTGTGTGTACGTGTGTGCATGTATGGTGTGTGTGCGTGTGTGAGAGCATGTGTGTGCATGTGTGTGCGTGTGTGTGTGCCGACCCCACCACTGCCCCGTCTGTCTCCTGTCTCCAGGCCTCTGTGTCTTCCATTGTCTGGGCCTCTCTGTCTCCCTGTCTCCCGGCCTCGACCTCTGTCTCTCTCTCCGGACCTCCCTGCCTCCCCACCTCCAGCTCTCTGTCTCCCTGCCCCTGTGGCCCCCCAGGGCCAGGAGTGTGGGGTCACCCAGCACTTCCTCCCCTCAGCACCCGAGAACCCCTCCTCAGCAGCTCTGAGAACGGCAATGGTGGCCGAGAGACGTCTCCGGCTGATGGTGAGACCAGAAGGATGCTGGGTGAGGGGCCAGGTTGGGGCTCACGGGTGAAGAGGGGCATCCACAGGAGGCCCGGCAGGATCTGAGCGCCCTCCCTGTTCCCCCACCCAGCCCGGACCGAGAGAATCCTCAGTGACCTCCTGCCCTTCTGCAGACCAGGCCCCGAGGGCCAGCTCGCTGCCACGGCCCTTCGGAAAGGTAGCCCAGCCCTGCCCCTCCAGGGTGGCCACCGGCCCAAACAGTGCCTCTGTTCCAACTAGAACAAGGCTCTCCCTGTCAAAAAGTTCCTTACGCCCAGCTGCCAGAAAACAAATGCTCCAAACCCACCCGGCCTGCACCACTGTCCTGGGTGCCCACGTCCTTCTTCTGCAGCCGCCATCCCTTCCTTGACTCTATATTCACCCTCTCCCTGACCATATCTCTGTCTTCAGTACCTTCCTGCCCTGTCCCAACCCTAAACCCAGCCTCACTTCACCTCCCTTTGGATCCCCCAACCCCATCCGCTCAGCCTTGCCTGGCACCCACCCTCACCTCCAGCCCCTACACATGCCGTTCGGAATCCCCCATCCCAGATCCCATCCCGGCCCCCTGGTCTCCTGACTCCGCCCCTCTTGCCCCTGGCCAGTGCTGTCCCTGAAGCAGCTTCTGTTTCCGGCGGAGGAAGACAATGGGGCGGGGCCTCCTCGAGATGGGGATGGGGTCCCAGGGGGCGGCCCCCTGAGCCCAGCACGGACCCAGGAAATCCAGGAGAACCTGCTCAGCTTGGAGGAGACCATGAAGCAGCTGGAGGTGGGGCGGGGCGGACCAGGGGTGCCCTGAATGGGCTGGGGAAGGAGGGGGCCCCCCTCATCCATGACCCCCATGCCACCAGGAGCTGGAGGAGGAATTTTGCCGCCTGCGACCCCTCCTGTCTCAGCTTGGGGGGAACTCTGTCTCCCAGCCTGGCTGCACTTGAGGTCCCTGTCCAGGAAGGTGAGTAGGGGATCTGGGGGCCAGGGCACTGTCCTGAAAGGAGGGTCCCCCTCCAGAGCTCGCATCCCTACAGCCCCTTCTGTCCATCTCCCTCTTTGTCTTTTCTGAATCTCCCCACTCCACCTCGTGTTTCTCATCTCTGTGTCTCTGTTTCTGATAATCTCTGTTTCTGTCTCTGTGCCTGCCTGCCTCTCCCCGCCTCCCCTTCTCTCTCCGCTCTCCCTGTCTTGTCTCTGTGTCTGTCTCTCCCTGTCTCTCTCTCCATCTCTCCCCATCTCCCCTCTTCTCCTACATCCCCCAGGCCTTTTGCAAGAAGGAGAGGAATGGGGGAGAGGACGTGAGGGACCACCCCCACCCACACAGCTGCCGCAGCATCTCACACCCTGAGGGCCTGAGGAGAGGGAGCTGTGGGCCACGCCTGGGAGGGGCCCAGCTGGGGTCACTGGCCCTGCATGAGCCTCGGCCATCTCTCCCTCCTGCCCTCTGCTTGGGGGACTCAGGGCTTCATTCCGGAGGGCACCACGGTGACCCGGGCCATCTCAGTATTGCCTGTGGGGGCCACCCCTCCACTCCCCACCCCCAAGTGCCTTCGCTCTGTTTTTATACCCTGAATTGGAGGTTTATTTTTTAATATATATTATCTAAGAAGAGATCTGTGTGTGTGAGGGTGTGGTGGGGCCTGGCGTGGCATCTGGAACTCTCTGTCTGGCGTCGACTTCCTGGGTCTGTGCCTCTGTGCCTGCCTCTAGTTGTTCATTCATTCATTCATTTCTTTGTTTGAACCGTTACTCCCCAGGCACTCTGCACACACACTGGGTATGAGGCATCCCCCTGACACCACCCTCCAGCTCCCACCCCCAATCCCCCATGCTCAGCACTGGGCACCCCGAGTCTCACTCTCTGTTCTTTTATTTCTGTAGTAAACTCTCTGGAGGTGACTGTCGGGATCATGGGGAGCTGGTGGGAAGGGGGCCCCTCCTGGGTGGGGGCTGGGGGCGGGGTTATTGCTCTGAGCTCCCTGTCCCCAGGGGGGCCTATGTGGGGGGGTGTCAGGACTGGGGCCAGCACAGGGGGGTTGGAGACACGGCCGCACAAACACTTGGGGCACAGCACAGGGGTGGGCGGGTGGGGAAGGCTGGGCGCCATATTGCACTTTGGAGTGGGGCCAGGCGGGGACCCCCCTCAAACTGGAGCCTGGGGAGGAGGCTGGAGGCCATCACGTTCCCTCTGTCCTCTGTGGAGGGGGAAGTGAGACCCCCAACTCTGGGGCTGGGGAAGGAGACTGGGGCAGCAACATGCCCAGACCCGGGAGGTGCTGAGGGCTGGTCCTGGGCCTTGGGCCAGGCATCAAGGGCAGACGGGCGGCTGCCCTGGTCCCTGCCTCAGCGGAATCCATTGCCCCCTGCCGGCTCAGCTGCCAGTCCCCCCTTTGCCTGCCTTTGCCTTGGGGGGCACCAGGAGACCCTCATCGCCCTCGCTGTCAGAGCTGCAGCCGCTGACATCGGTAATCTCCAGCTCCGAGTCGCTGTCCTCCTTCCCACCAAGGGCAGCCTCTGGACCCCCAGCCCCCGGCAGTGCCAGGCGAGGGGCCGCTGCCAGGCCCGAGGGGCGCTCGGGGCCCAGGCCCTCCCCTGTCGAGGCCAGCAGGGGCACGGCTGTGGGGCCTCCCCCTGCCCCTGCTGAGGGCAGGTGGCTCAGGGAACTGGCCAGAGGGTTGGGATAGAAGTGCGGGGGGTAGAGAGAGGGAGGCAGCTTGGGGAAGGGGCCTGTGAGGTACGGGTTAAAGTTCCAGGGGTACTCAGGGAAGGCGCGGCCATAAGGACCCAGCAGGCCAGGGGGCTTGGAATAGCTGGTGGCACCTGGGGGGGGCACAGGGGTAGGTCAGGCTGGGGCGCCTGCCTACCTGGGGACCAGCAAAGGGGGCTGTCTCCCTGCCATATCCCACCCCATCTCCCTGCGTCCCTCCTACATGGCATCTCACCCCCTCACACAGCTTCCCCCAACTCCATCTCCTCCCACTCCCCCACTTGTCTTCCCATTCCTTAAGCACCCCTGAAAGCCCTTGTCCCCCTCTCATTTCCCCTCCCTCACCTCACATCCTTTTCTGGGTTTTACACACGCGCACACACACACACGCATGCACACACACACATCCTACAGCCTGGCTCTGGGCCCCCTTCCCCATCCCTTCTCTTGTCTTTTCTCATCCTCTTCCCTCAAGCCTGCAGCTTCTCCCACCATGCCCCCAGCACCCCACAACCTCCAGGCTCTTACCAGAGCCCAGGAACGGGAAAGGGCTGTCCAGACGCAGTTTATCTGTCTCGGAGGTGAACAGGGGTGTCCGGGTCCCTGGCTCTCCCAGGCGTGGGGCAGAGAACAGGGTTTGCAGGGTCTAGAGAGGGAGTGGGGGAAGCCGCCCTGCTCAGACTGTCCCCTCCCCAGAGTGGGCACCAAGTGCCTCAGTTCCAGGACCCCAATACCCAGACTCACCTCAGGGGTGAGGGGAGGAGCATCTGGCCCTGGGGCCCCCCCGAAGGGACTGGGGGTCAGCAAGAGTGGGGAGCCGGTGGCAGCTGCCGCCATGTCCAGCAGCGGGTAATTGACGAGCACAACTTTGCTGAAGTTGAACTTGTAGGTGAACCTCTTCCCTTTGGTCTTGTGGAGAATCCGCTTGTTGTAGTAGTAACTGTGGGGAGAGCGGTGGTGCTGGGGAGGTGCAGGGGGAGCCTTGGGGAGGGATCTGGGGTTTCTTAATGCATGTGCTGTCCCAGGCACGATGCATAGGGCACTAGAACTTGGGGAAACTGAGGCTCACAAGTCCCTTAACAGGGATCACAAGGCAAGGAAGGGATGAGGCAGGAGCGGGGACCCTGCCCTGCGAGACTCCAAAGCCCAGGTTTAGGGGTCCTTCCTCCTTGCCTCCCTTCCACTCACAAGTAGCTATGGTGGCTACTCACGCACAGCCCTGTGCCTTGTGGGATCCAGCAGGAACCTGCCCCAGGATGCAGAGGGGTCACCAGAGGGACAGCGCGGGGGAAAAGGACAAGTTGGGATCCAGCCCCCAGCCCTTCCTCACCGCAGGGCCCGGCTCAGCTTGTCGTAATTCATGTGGGGCTTGCATTTGCGAATGCCCCACAGCCGGGCCACCTCGTCAGGGTCTTTGATGACAAATTCCCCGTAGTCCCCCTGCCAGGCGATGACGCCCTGGTACTCCTCCTTCTGCAGCAGCTCCAGGATAAAGTGCCACAGCTGGATCTGCCTCGAGCCAGGGGATGACTCTGGCTTGTAGGCCCAATCAGGGAAGGCAAACCCTGGGGACGGGAGAGAGGGAGTGGCCTGGAGTCAGGATGCCAAGTCCAGGGCTCTGGGTCCTGCTGGACTCAGTAACCTGAGAGGCATCTAGTTCTCCTCCAGCCTCAGGCATCTTTAGGGACCTGGTTTCCACTCTCCAAACCTCCTCCCCTGGTGTCTGGTCCCCAAATTATCCAAATATGGGCAAGAACCCAGTCATCCAGGGACGCTGTGTTGGTACCAGTCTGATCCCCTACCTTAGCATAGCTCCCCCAGGCTCAGCATCCAGAGGTGGAGGTAGGAGGGATTGGCTTCCTGCACCCATGACAGTTAGGAGGAATGGGAGAGAGGGGCACCCCCTCCCCAACAGCGTTAGTCTTCCCACTGCCCCCAGCCAGCCCCAGGAGGTCTCTGGTCTCTCTTGTACCCTGCACTGCCCCCAGCTCTTGCTGTCTCTGTTCCCCATTCCCTGTCCCCTGCTCCACCTTCTGGCATTCCCCAGAGCCCCCCACTGACCCACCCTGGCATATCCAGGCATATCCAGGCTGGGGCTGTGTGCATGTCTGTACCTGCCTGTGTATTTGTACCTTTCCCATCTCTGTGTGCCCTCCACCCCATATCCGTGCCCATGTCTGTCCAAGAACAGTCCAGAACAGGGTGTGTGTGTGCACATGCACACACATATGCCCATGGAGGACATGTCACACAGACATCAGTTCACTTGCCTGAGACACACAGCCACACTGGGACACAGGCACACCGGAGTGCCATACGCATGCTGGGGACCACCAAGGCTGACATGGCAGACATGGGCTGCCCAAGACTCAAGGTCACGTCATCTCAACAACCCCACAGTGCACACCCAGCACAACACACAATTACACATCTCAAGACTGGAACCTGCTAACAACACAGATGCATGAAAAGACACACACAGGACCCCAAATACCCAAAGAACACACTGTACAATGGAGACGGTGAACACAGCACCAAGATATTCATGTCCCCAGACACAGAGGGTGACAGCGTGTCAGTAGAGCAACTTCCCAAACCCACACACAGAGGTACCCATGTGTCAGCACTGACACCCACGGCTCACATCATGTCTCCATGCAGAGGGGGTACCCCACTGTCCACATACCCCCAGGAGCTGGGCACCCCGAAATCTCGCCTCCCATGCAGAAGGCCCAAGCCCTGGGTCCAAATTCTGTGCTCACTCCTGTGCCACATCCTATGCCCCCTTCTCCCTCCTTAGAGACCCCAGACCCAGGCATGAAAATAGAAGGCAGAGTGAGTCCATACAAAGCTGGCAGCAGTGCAGGAGAGGGGAGGCTGCGGCGCGCCAGGGCAGGGGAGACCAGCATCGCCGTGTCCACTTGCTGTGTGATTACGGGCAGGTCCTTACCCTCTCTGGTTTAGAACCTCAGAGGTGGAAGGCAAGGGGGCGCAGGGTCACACGCAGGCTGCCTGGTGTATAAAAGTGGGTGCTTGTTCCTCCCGGGGAGCTCCAGGTAGTCTCCTTCTTGAGGGATAGTTTTTATCTCAATTCATTTTGGGTCTTTCTCACCTCCCATGACAGGGCTGGATCCAGACTCCAGCTCTGACCCATTCCACACCCAGAACACGTCCTATTGGGGATGCAGCTGTGTCACAGACACACCCACAGGACCCCAAGGTGACAACGGGACACCCAACCCGGACACTCCATCTGTCTCTGAATGCACACCCTCAAATATGTCGTACCTGTGAGGCACAGGCACAGCTAGAGAGAAGACCCCCAAACTCAGTAGGCAGACACACACATGTGACAGACAAACCCCCAGAATTCACTCATGCACACATGGACCCTACACTGAGAACCAGACACAGCCCCCAACACAGGCCCATGGACGCATCCCCCCACAGCCCCAAATGCACCAAGACATCCATTCGGAACACCATACACCACGAGACAGACCGCAAGAAACAGGCAAAGGCTCCTCACCCCACTCAGTCAGAGGTACAGTCGCGAGCCGGCAGACACCCCCATCCCAAAATGCAGACACGCCCAGCCCAGAGACACTCAAGTAGCCCTAGATGGGCACGTACAAGCAAATACACAAGCTCACACAAAGACAGGCTCTGCAGACACATTCTCCCAGTGTGACCCCTTCTAAAAACACTGAAGTGTGACACAGGGACACACTCTGAAATGAGACCCCAAATAACCAAGCACAGAGTCTCTGTCTCTCACACACACCCCCCTCCCGCTGCACATGGGCATGGTGTCTGACCAGCCTCACCGGCCACCACCCCCAGTTCCAAACCTCCACTCTGAGCAAGCTGTCCTCTCTCCTGGGTCTCGGGCTGGCTGGGTCATGCCTGCACGTCCCCCTGACCGGGCAGTGCCATCTGTCCATCTGTCCATCCATGCTCCCCCTCCCCGGAAACCCCTCAGTGCCCCCTCCAGCCCAGTCCCTGCTCTCTTTCCGCGCAGGACTTGCGTGGGAGCAGGCTGAGAGGTGCATGGCAGGGATGCCCGGGCCTCGGGCCCCTCTGTCCTCACCCCGCACTCACCTCCTTACCTTGCCCACCCTCCCAGAAGACCCACATATCCCAGCAGGCAGGTGGCAGGGTAATCTGGCTGCGAAGTTTTTAGCCAAGTTTCTCCGAAGGGGTTTGATTTGGGGGACTCTGACCAAGACTGAGAGAGAAGGACCCACGGACTAGAGTGAGACACGTGGAGACACGGAGAGAAGGGGGTGCGGCTCACTGGGGAGGCCTGAGGGGTGGGGGAAGGAATGGGGGAGGTCCGGGCCAGTTACCGGGGGTCCAGAGAGCCGGCAGGGCGGGCGGGGCGAAGAGAAGGTCGGAGACGCAGCTACAGTCCATGGCGGAGCCGGCCCTGCAGAGGCCGGGACGGACACACGGGGACGGGGTGGGCAGGAGAGACAGACACAGGTCAGCCAGCGGGGCGCTGCCCGGGGCCTCCCCCTCTCCCATGTCCCCACCCCAGCCCTCTGCCCTCTCCCCGCAATCCCTTCTGCCCACTCCCTCCCGCAGGCACCGCTCTGTCACCAGCCGCTCCCAGCCCCGAGCCCCCAGCACCCCGTTCCTTCCCTCCCAGCCTCTCCTCCCGCAGCCTCCTCCTCACTCGGTGCCTCCATCACTAACCACGCCGCTCCCAGCCTCCCTCCCCGCTCCCCGCCACTCGCTCACGCTCTCACACTCGCTGGCTCTCACGCCCGCCCGCCCGCTCGCGCCCCGCACAGTCTCTGCTGCCGTCTCCCGTCCCCGCTCT